TAGTGATGTCCTTTTGCTGAAGAACAAGTGGTTGCAGGACTCAACTGGGCTGTTGCGCTCCCAGATTAAAATTCCTCCTTTCCATGGGAAAATCTGATCTTGTATTATCGTAGGCTTGATGTTGGGAATCTTTTCCTCTCTCTTCTTCTCATTTGTTCTACTTCATATAAATTCATTACATATTAATTGGAGCAGAAGCTGTAACAGAAGCTTCTGTCTCCAAGGTGAGTGCTGTAATCATCTGACAGCTAAAGCATGTGTTATCTCCAGCCCAGTAAAAAATTAGTTATTCCATATAAATCAAACCAGTCCCAGTTAGAAAGACTGAGAAATCCCTAATTCTATAGTCTATGCCACAATAAAGATTTGGAAAAGAACAATGAGAGTAAGGAGTATCCTTGCATTCAATATATTCACTATTTTTCTAGTTAAATATTTTAGGATCTGAGAGTGTCTAGACGGATGCATTTTCATCTCATGTGATAGCATCTAGTCTAGTATAACTGATGGCCTTAAAACTGAAATGTTGTAAGAGTCAGTGAACCATTTTAAAATTATGCAGCCATTTTAATCAATTAAGACAACAAGGTAAAAGAGGAAACTAATGTATTTTTTCCTGTGACGCATTTCTCTTCTCTTTGTCAGAGGCATAAGAAAGATTAATAATGAGCTTTTCAGAGCAAATCACTAGTGTAACATTATTTATAGAAAAAAAGAGACTCTGTCTCGGCAAAATCAGATGACCAACCACAAGACAAAGCTTTTTAAAAACAAAAATGATACTAAGGTTTGTCATTATCTCTCTTCTGTTGGGAGGCTCAAAACTGGAGGCTTTATTATATGCATGTCTAATGAGTGCTGTGTAAAGTGAGATAATCACTTCTCATGGTCTCTGCCCTGTTCACACAGCCCAGGGAGCTCCTGGCCTTCATTGCTGCCAGAGTCACTGCTGTCTCACGCTCAGTTTGCCGCCCACCAACCCCCAGGGCCTTCTCCACAGAGCTGCTCCCAGGCAGGCAATCCCAGCATGTGCTGGGTCCAGGGGCTCTTCCTTTCCAGGACCAGGATTTGCATTTGTCCTTGCATTTCATAAGGCTGGACCATTCTTCCAGCCCCTCTAGGCTCCTCTAAATGTCAGCCCAAGCCTTGGAAGTATTGAGTGGTACACTCAAATTGGTACCATCTGCAAATCCAGTGAGCAAGCATTCTGTCACCTTTTCTAAGTCATTGATAAAGTTGTTAAGAAGGACCAGTGCCAGGATAGACCCCTGCAACTCTTATTACTAGCCTCCATGTCGAGTACAACACAGTAATAACTACCTTCTGAGCCTGACCATCCAGCCAGTTTTTTTTCTCTCATCTGGTTGTCCACCCTTCATGGCTGTAATGTCCTAACTAGGGTACAAGATAATTTTGGGACACTGGCAAAAGCCTTGCTAAAGTCAAGGTAAGTGACATCTGATGCCCTCCTGTTATCTATAAATCCAGATATTTTATTGTAGAAGGTAATGACATTGGTCAGGCATCATTCACTCTTGGTAAATCCATGCTGACTGTTCCTCATTACCTCACTCTCCTTCCTGGGCCTTGAAATGTCTTGAAGAGGACCTGTTCCATCATTTTCCCAGCGACTGAAGTGAGGCTGTGCAGGTCATAATCCACCAGATTGTCCTTTTGGCCTCTTTTTTTTGTGAAGACAAGTGCAACACTTGTGCCTTCCCAATCATTGAGGATCTCCCTGGTTTCCATAACCTTTCAAACATAGGAGAGGGCGACTTTGCAAGAGAATCAGACAGTTCTCCCTGCATCAATGGATGCAGTCTATCTTACTGCCTTTATAAGTCTTAACTAAAGCTAAGCTTTGGCTTTCCTGACACAGGAAGCCTGTTGGAGTTAAAACCTGAGATGCTGTCCCTCCAAGCTCCAGGAGATTAAAAGAAAAGAAGAATGAAACATATCTGATACCTGCAAATCAATTTGCACAACTTGGGGATGCTCATATGCTAGGTAATTGGGACAGGAATATACTCTCTGTTCGGGTTATTCCCTAAAAGGTCTAGATTTTATGAAATGAAATTAAATTCTGTTAAGTCATGTTCATTTTTGCTGAAGACCTCTCAAACAATGGAGTTTAGAAAGTCTCTTTCATCATCCTTCAGAACTTCTACAAGGAGATTAAAATCTATTCATCTTGCAGCATGTCTATGTCCTATTTATGTTCTTTATCGGCTTAGCTTGTTTGCTAGAATTTCTCAGACTCTTTTTTTTTGGAATTGAGAGAGAAGATGTGTGTATGGATTAATTCTGTGCCAGAGCTTGCTGAACCTCTGTTCATAGTTTCATTATTATTTTAATCTGGAGCTATGAATAGACATAGCAGGTGATTTTTGTATACTGCAAGTTATTATTTAATGAAAGATTTAAGGATGCTCTACAGAAAAAGGAAAAAGAAAATCATCCTGTAAAATAAACTTTGAGGTCTAACTAACAATTTTATCAACTTTGAGTGGGCTTATAAAAAGGACTGTGCTATAGAACTATAGCAATCGATTACTAAAGCACCAACAAATGCAAAACTGTTTTCCTAATAAAATTACATACTACAATCATCTTACATTTAAAGTTTTCATGGAGGATAAACTCTCTTCAGAACTGTAATATAAAAATACCTTTTTTAATGTTTATCATGTTTTTTCTAAATAAATTTCTCAACCTTAGTAAGTATACAACTTTTTTTCTTGCATTATTTTGAAGAGAAACATTTTTTGATATTTTGTTAGCTATTAATACTCTAATATTCTTATCAGGGATAATATTTGAATGTATTTTTTTAAAACTAGGATTTGAATACTTTTGAAGTATTAGCTAAAAATACAATATATATTATTAAACATAAGTAGTATAATCTCTACGTAATTAATTGATATAAAAGTATCATCACAGCTGCCAGACTAACATTTGCCAAGTAACTGACTGCATAAGATAATATTTCACAATTACTTTAAAACTCTTCCCAATAAGGGGTATGCTTAATTGGATAAGTAGGACAATCAATCAACTGATTTCCTAAAAAGCAAATACCTGTTAGCTTTGAACTTAAGAACCCTAAAAATCTATTCCTGTGACTAATTTCATCAGGAAAAGGATTTGATGATCGTGTTGGTAATTTCTATGACTCTCATTCTTTACAAACAGTATTTCCTTAGACCCAAAAAAGGACCGCGATGCTTCAATCACACTTCCAGACTTTGAACATGAAGTTAACCCCTATACTCTTTCTTAGAGGCCAGTATGGCTTCTCTGAATGATGCTTCTGGTATCTTCAGAGGTACTTCTTGTCTTGACAAATATACTTCATTAAAACCATACCCAGCAAAAAAAGTTCTCTGTTCTTACCAACACCTCACACATATTTTTGTTGAGGATTGTGACATACACGTGTACTTTGCACAAATGTTCTTATAGTTGGTATTTAGCTGAAACATACATGTTTCCCTAAAATTATCCCAAATGAATGGAGGCATTACAGTTAAGTCAGTTTATCCAGGTATGTCATGAATACAGATTCTTTAACCAAGAACTAGGAAAACTCTTATAACCACTGCATTCCTAATCCACCCTGTGAAACAATGTGAGCCTGCACTACTTGAGCTGTGATTCCACTGCTCCTGTTGCCAAGGTGGAAGGATGCTGGGCCTCAGCAGATCAAGACACTCAGTGCCTTCCTCAGAGATAATTAGTAGGAGATAGGAGTTTCTAGAAGTGGGGCTTCTGGTGCTATTTATTTAGTGCTGACTGATACTGGAGAAGAACTACCCAGTTTCATACAGTGAAACCAAACCAACAGAAAATAATTTTTAGAACTCCTTAAAAAGTCTGAGCCACACAGAAAAAAAAAATTTAAGTTATTCACGTTCTCTGTGATTCATGATGTGCAGTCACCAAGTGCACATCTTCCATGTGAACTCCATAACAGAAAAATTATATGTGATCTAAGATGTTCTGCATTGTAATCTGTATGACAGTAACAGTGCTGAAAAGAATTTATGTGGAGGAAGAAACTTGTGGGAGTTCACGCAGTAGTAACCATATTAGTTAGTAGCACTTAAAATTAACCTACTTTATAGTAAGAGAAAGGGAAGCATAGAAATGCTTCTATGAAGATAAAATGGCTTTCATTTAATGACAGAAGCATAATAACAATAGATAATGGGAACTTTCATGTAACACTTTCTTTAGTAGCAGGAGCAGAGCTGTAGGAATTTACTATTATTGTTTTTCTTCCAACAAGTCTATTCATATCATCTGTGCATCACGGCTGCATGTTAGAAAGTAATTAGCTCAGCTGCAATATTCACTGATGCATTTCATTGCATTCTGACTAAAGCTACATCTTGCAGACTTCTGAAAGTTATCTTTTAATCTACTACATGCAAAATTACATTATAAATATTAAAATATATATGACAGTGGAAAGTTACTAAATTTATTCCTCAGTAATACAGCTGCTTAGCCTTAAGCACAAAGTAGTAATAATTACCTCCAAGCTGTCATTAATTGTGCAAATAAATTGTTAAATTTTAGATGCTAATGAGAAAGAAGCTAAGAAAAACCAGCAACTCTCAGCAATATTTTAACACTAAGGAATTCTGTATGAGATAAAATTACAGAAAACACATTTATAAAATACAAACTGAACAGAGACTATGACATAACATTAAAATACATTCTCTTAGAATGGACGGAATTCACTTCAATATAAGGTATCTACAGCCACAGTATTTTAAAGATTACTTCCAATACAGGAATTACAGATCAGTAAGTATGTTCAAAGATAGATATTTCTTATATACTTTCAATCAAAGTACAAATTACAATTGAGAAGGAGGAAAAAAGAACCTTCTATTACATACAGAGAAGCTGATGTGCATACGAAATAAGTGAAGTGGTGAAGCAGGGAAAAGAATATGAAAGAATGGAAAATAAAAGGGGAGACTTACTGGAGAGAACCACATCACTTTAAGAATCCAAATTGTCAAAGAAAAATTCACAACTAGGACGATAAGCAGAAGGAGGACAAACAGGTAGAGGCAACGCTTTCTCCAGCCATAAATTCCAATTTTGTAGACATATTCATTCTTCGGCCTCTCTAGGCTAGTGCCTGGTGTTGTTGTTGTGTATTGTTCACGTACCATCTGCTATGTAAGGAAAAAAAAAAAAAAAAACTGCTTAGTTGTTTGAGTTAAATTAAAAATATTTATATAAAACCTGAGGAAAATATGAAGACATAGTTGTAATACCAAGTTACTAAAAACTAGACACTCGAATGAAGTTTTAGCTGGAAAGCATTTTCATCATGTCCCACTCAAATTACACTTACATCTTACTTTTTGGTACACACCATGTGATGTTTTAATATATTTTAAATTAGATTTTAATTTATTTTATCCTGTATAGAATGGCAACACATTCCTCCCATTTGTCATAATATTCTAATTCTCTCATCACAAAATATTTCATATGATCATACCATAATACGCGGCTCACAGAACAATATTATTTTACTGTAAAAATAGTTGAAAGTGGAAATGGTATGTTGTAAGTACAGGTTTAAAAACACTTCTACATATTCTTTCCTCAATTCAGTTAGAAAATACATTTTTTGTGTTGCAAAATTTAACTGCGTACCACTGGAATGTCAAAATACGTTAAGCTTCAGAATCTGTATATAAAGAAATGAAATGGTTCTTAATAATGTAAAGGAAATAATGATTTCTCAATTTATCATCTAGTCATATTTAAAGTTTAATTAGAAATAAAAACATTACTTACTGGGTTTAAACAACTTCCTTCACTTTGTATTATAGTTCTTAAAGAAGCATTTGAATGTAAAGAAATCTTACCAGATTGAACGTCCTTAAAACATGAGGATACTCACTATCTTTCACCTTTACAGCACAGACACCACCACCAATTCAAACCATTCATTAAAACTTATAATTTCAGCCCAGAGAACAAAATCCCAGCAGCTGAAGCTGCTTATCTAGAACAACAGTAGGCAACATCTGACTCATTTTCACTGACATAAAACAAAAAAACCCAACCCAACCATGGATGTCAAAAAGAAAATAGGTATTGGAGGTTCAAGTACTCCCTATGAGCCAGGTATATCCACAGGCATCTTATCTCCAAAAACTACAATATAATGTTCCCATATGAGAGCGCCTTCAGACAGGTTTCACCCAAGGTCTCCTCTCAATTCTGAATTTACTCCTGGGAGTGAGATCACTGTGCTCTGCACACACAAATTTCCAAACATGATTAAATTACATCCATGCCCAGCTGCTGAATTACTCCAGGTCGTTAAACCTCTTTTCAAGTCTCCTGCAGAGCCATCCTGTGTCTGTAACAAGCTTGAAGCTCTCAGTTCTTACCCTCATCTATAGAAATATGTCATTTTTTGTTCCTGTAGCTTCCTATCAAACTACAAGACAGAGAGCACAATATAGTTTACAACTGAACAGCAGTTCATGCACTATCTCTATGTATATACTCATTATTATTCTTACTTCTGCACCACCATTAAAAAAATCTTTTAATTTGTTGTTTATTTATATTAAATAATACTTGATCATTATCAGTTCATAATGTAACTGTGCTACAGCCATTATGGGATATTCTAATTAATTCTAATTAATTTGTTGCTGCTATCAGCTTCAGTTGCTCATACTGATATATAAATATCAGTATTCTGTATACATCTTTTCATCTGCTGAAAATGCTGAAAATACAGAAAATAGTATAATGATTTATTAATGGAGAATCTTAGATTCTGAAATAGCTTGGCTTAACATTACTGCAAAACATTGTAGATTTACAAGATGGTACTTAATATTCATTGCATGAACTATGTTTGTTCAAAACTATCAGATTATATTTTTAAGTTCCATGTATTACTCAAGGACCTAGTACTGATTACAGGATACTGTTTATATATTAATTGCTACTACATTTTTTTTTCTGTCTTTCTGCTAATCATTGTATAAGAAACAATATCACTCACAGAGAAGTTGCCTCTTATCTTAAGGGCACCTTACCATGCTCTGCCAAGTAAGACAAATCAGGACATTTATACAGACAATGGCTTTCACAAAATGCTTAGAAAAACCTTTACCCTTTCTTCCACCCAGATTCCTCCTGGACACTGTAACTTATGGGATAGGATGCAGTAACTGTTACCTGGTGACAACAACAGATCAACTTTAAGAAATAACCCGTGCAGGTCTTGATCAGGTATAGTTCACCTACCTATGAACATATGGCATCCTCGGAGTTTCTTATTGCTTCCTTCCTTACACAGACCTTCTAGGTGTCAGCATAACAAGAAAGGAGACAGATGACAGCTACAGAAATTTCTGTAGTAACAGAAGCCTCCTTCACAAGATAGACTGCTTTTTTTTTTTTTTCAAGGAGACAAATAAAATCTACTTCTAAGAACACTCAAAAGGTTATTTCAATAGGGCTGTGGGGAAATGGACCATCCTTCAGAAACTGCACATCTCATGAAGTTAGGTGAGCCTCCTGCAACAAATCTCTAGCTGTGGCATCTCAGCTTTGCTTATTCCTTGTGTTGCTGTCTGCTACATCTTCAAGGCAAATTTTGCAATAAACACCATTTGATAGAGTAAATTAATTCTCAGATCTTCATGTTTTTAAGTCAGCCTCATCACAGTGAGTCTCTGAGGTTGGGATTCATCTCACAATGTCAGATATCAAAAATTTAGCCTTCAGTATCTAAGCCTGTCAACCTGGGCTTCCTTTTTGGTCAACAGAGATAAACCTAGCCCTGCTGGGAATTATTTATCTGACTTTTAAAAATGTATACTCTAGATATCCAATGAACTGCATCTTAGATGTGTTTAAATTCTCTCCATAAAAAGAGAAATAAAGAGAACCTGGATGATTTTTTCATATGTTTATACCTATGTTGTAGACATAAGCATTTGGTCAAATAAATTCCAACCAGAATGATTTCCAGAAGGCACTAATTTAAAAAGAAGATAGGATTCTTTTCATTCCTGTTCTCCTCTGTTCCATTTTTAACCTGTTGTAAAATGTTTATTGTGTGATTTGGGTTTTTTATACATAATGTATCATGTACTGCTGTTAATGAGGTGAGGTCAAAATCCATTATGCATTTCACCAAAAAGCCTATGAGTTTTGTGATTGTTTTCAGCCCTTCAGAAATTCCACAGGGGACACATCCCAGTGCAGCGTTGTTCCCTGCACAAATTATTTTTTCCTGACAGAAAACAGTTCTGAGCATTACTAATACTGCCAAAAATTGCTTTGGTCCTAACAAATGGGTAATGCTGGCCTAGACAACTGACTGCTATGAAAAGGATTAAACTTTTCTACTTAATATAATATTTCATTATTTTTAAGAGAATTAGTGGCTCAGTACCAAGTAATTACAAGGGAAATCCTTTAAGAATTGATACTGTTGGTCTGTTTCTTCTGGAAGAATCAACTTACCATATTACTGACTTACATGTTCATGAGCTGAAATTACATAGGAGAATAATCTCAGACCTGTCTGGAGAAGTCAGAGAGAAATTCTTTTATAGGTTTGGGCTGTTTTAGATAGTTGGGCTGAAAGGAAAACCGTCGACAAGCAGATCTCATAGCTGGCTGACAGGATTCAAGAGAGACTCTTAAACAACAGATCTTTAGTATGATGATGATGAAAAATGCGGTTTGTAAATGGAATAACCAAGACACTGTAAATTGATTGTGCAGGAGCATACTAAACAGACATCAAGAGAGAAGTGGTTACTGATACACCTGGATGTGCCCAAATTTGTTGGAGAAGCAAGAAGCTTGCACAATGAACAATGACTTTGGTAACTGTTATCTTTATATTCTTTTACAAGGAGGCAACATACTGTGACAAACTACAAAGAGTAAGAAACGTCCTGGCAAACTATAGTGCAGATAAAATCATAGAATCATAGAACTGTCTAGGTTGAAAGGGACCAACATAGATCATCAAGCCCAACCATCAACCTAACACTGACAAAAATCACCACTAAACCATGTCACTTAAGCACTACGCCTACCTGTCTTTTAAATACCTTCAGGGATGGTGATTCCACCACTTCCCTGGGCTGCCTGTTCCAATGTTTGATGACCCTTTTGGTGTAGAAATTTTTCCTAATATCCAATGTAAGATGAATGGCATCTCAGTTTCAGAATGAAAATTCTGACATCATTCAAATGCGCCATGAAAATATGCATTATTTGGATCATGCCAGCAGTACCATAAAAATAAAAAAGTCTTCTACTTAATTGGAATTGGAATTTCTCAGTGCTCCTACTCGAGGGCCCAGATAATCAGAAGTCAAATAGGATTAAGGTCAACTACTTGCATATTCTTTATGGATTTTTTTATATGTGGCCATAATTCCCGGGACTGAGCTCTATCATGGTAATTTGCTATTTGAAAGTATTTTCCAGTTGTCATCATCTGTTTCACTGGCATCCTTTTTTATCCAATTACTTCTTCCCCATTTGCTGATTTAAAAGAGATACTGAATGCTAATTAGCTGCCAAAAGATTTGTCATAGATTTTAAATGATAGATGTAGCTTGTGAGTTACTTGTACACTGCAGGCAGTTTGACCGTGTGAGATTTTCTCACATGTTCATGGGTGACTTGGAAGTGTTGCATGTAGTGCATGAAATTCATGTTTATGGGAATACATATATGAGCTGCTGGTGATGTAAAGAGCTGTACGTTCTTTACACTGTGTTACTAAAGCTGCCGCCTAAAAGTATGTAGCCATGACAGAACATTTCCCTGGATCTATTCCACCCTTTTCCATGCAAGACTTCGAGACTGGCCCCTCTGATCTGCACGATTCAGTGGTCCAGGAGATTTTTATATTAGTACCTTGATATTGAAAACCTGTCCATCTATAATGTTACTGTTGGATTTAGGTTAGCTTAGGCATCAAGTTCAAAAATCTATTCTGATAGCTCTGGAATATTCAATTAAGACAGCTGTATTTTGAAGAAGGAATTTGCAAACTTATCAGTAAGCCTGCTTGGGAAAGCAAGCCTGTGTAGCAGCTTGTTAATTGTATTGTTTTTAGGAATTATTTATCTGTAGGAATTACTGAAAACAGAACACCATTTCA